AAAGCCAGTCACATCTCGGGCAAAGAATCTTCTGCAAGTGTGCTCATTGTCAGATCTGACAGTTGCCAGCAGAACTGGCGTTCTGGAACAAATGAAAAGATTTTTAATAGTGTGCCCCTTGGGAAACTGTGCAGTTGATAAATAAGACTGACAGTTCATACATTTAAAATGATTAATGTTACTAGAATGTTGACCTTTTGTCCCAGAGATCTCCTCCCATGCTCCCTCCTTGCCCTGCTCCAGCTGCCTGGTGCCCCGCCTCAGGGCCTCTGCACTTGCCATTCTCACACAACCACACGGCCACCTCCAGGGCTTGGCTTGGCCGCCACCTCCTTGGCAGGGCTTGCCCTGGCAGCACTCCATTTTCTGCCTTTCTGTTGCACTGTCACCATTAAATGTACCGTGTATTTTGTACGTTCATTTTGTTCAGTGTTCCCTCTCCCTAAGGTGTCAGCCATGTGGGGACAGGGACTGTGTTTCCTCTACTGCTGTCCTCTCAGCATTGACAGTGTTAGGCACAAAGTCAGAACTCGGCACCTACTGACTGGAAGAAGCCACCCTACGTCCTAGCGCCCACACACTTTTTCTTAGCATTTCCACATTTCCCCTTCGTCTCCCTTTCTAAAGCACTGTTATACTGCTGAGTCTGTTTTGTCTCTGATTCTTACTCAGCTTCACGTCATGCCTCTTTTCATGGCATTCTGCCGTTTCCATGGTAATTTTTTAGCAGCTACATAGCTTTTCATTGAGCGGATGCTTCTGTGCTACTGGTGGGCGGCTTGTTTTCTAGTTTCTCTCATACACAAAGCCTTCACAGCCAACCTGTTCTGTGCTTCCTTTATGGAGGTGTTTCCTTCACCTTCATTCCTGGGCGTCTGCCATTGAGCACGTGGCCAGAGTCCCCATGCCTGGGGCCCGTAGGCCTGACTGCTTCCCCGGGGTGGGGACGGCAGGACCCCTGTCCCCCATGGGGCTGGCCTCTGTGGTCCTGGCGCAGCTGTCCGCAGTGATTGGCTTCTGCTTTCAGATCCGCAAGGATGCCCTGCGGGCACTGAACGTCGCCTACACCGTGAGCACACAGCGGGCCACCGCGTTCCCGCTGGACGGCGTGGTGCGCATGCTGCTGTTCAGGGACTGCGAGGAGGCCACAGACTTCCTCAGCTACCATGGCCTCGCCGTCGCTGACGGGTGAGGGCCTTGTCTCTGGATTCTGGTGCGGCCTGGAAGTGCCGGCGCCATGCCAGGCCCTGGAGAAGGCACGACCCACGTCTGCCTCCCAGAGGTGCAGGAGTACACAGCCAGGCTCAGGGTGGCTGGGGAACTCCAAGTTACTGAAGAACTTAAAGGTTAGGGCCTCCTTATTCTGAAGATGGCTGGTCACCAGTGGCAGGCCACCACCCCCTTCTGATGGCCCAGACAGGTGCCGGCGGGCCAGGCCAGCACCTTCCCTACTTTCAGTCAGAGTGTTTTGAGAGCCCGAGGAGACTCGCAGGCCAACGGCACGCAGCCTGATAGGCCAGGCCGAGCTCGGGTCCCCCCCACTTACTCCCGTCTGCTGTCTGTATTCCTGTTCTCACGGGTGCAGTGGCCATGGAGGGAGCCTGGAGCATGGGGTGTCGCCCCACACGTGCCTGTTGCCACAGGACCAGGCACTTCCCTCATGCCCACATGGCCACGTGGTGGCCCACTGACCCGGGGGGGCGGGGAGAGGGGGGTGGTGGCTTCCAGCGCTGTTGCCGGGTGGTGAAGCCTGGAAGCCCTGTGATGCCTCTGGGTCCTTTGTGGTCTGCGCAGCTGTGTCGAGCTGAACCGGTCCTCGTTCCTGGAACCAGAAGGGCTCTTCAAGGCCAGGAAGTCAGGGTTTGTTACCAGGAAGCTGACGGTGTCGGTTGGGGAAATCGTGAATGGAGGGCCGTTGCCCCCCGTCCCTCGCCACAGCCCTGTGTGCAGCTTCAACGCGCAGAACAAGTATGTCGGGGAGAGCCTGGCCACAGAGCTGCCCGTGGGCCCCCAGCGACCCGGCTTGGACACAGCAGGTGAGGGCCTGCAGCCGCAGGAGGCCTCCAGG